AGTAGTAGTAGTAGTAGTAGTAGTCGTAGTCGTAGTAGTAGTAGTAGTAGTAGTAGTAGTAGTAGTAGTAGTAGTAGTAGGAGTAGGAGTAGGAGTCAAGCTAGCCAGCTCGAGCGAGTCAAGCATGGCATGCCCAGTCCCACCCGCCCTCCCACAACATAAGAAGCAAAGCTGGCACAACTGGGGGCCGAAGTCACACCGGCCAGCCGGTTTGGTACAGCTGATGCGGCCGCGATGGCGGTTTCGACATGGGAAGCTGCATCCCATTCCTGCCAAGCATCCCATTCCTGCCAAGCATTTTGCGACGTGGACGACAGGACGTCCATGCTGAGAGGAAAAACGTTGGTGCGCGGCGCCGAGGCGAGAGCGACATGTCACCCCTTCGCGCGGGGTGTGCGCCGCGTCCCATTCCTGCCACGCATTTTGCGACGTGACGACAGCACGACCATGTTGACAAGAAAAACAAAAACTGTGTATTGTCTTCTGCAGATTAGAATGGGACGGATTGGATGGGCGGGCGCGGGGTGTGCGCCGCGTCCCATTCCTGCCATGCATTTTGCGACGTGGACGACAGGACGTCCATGCGACGGTGCCAATGACGGCGACGACTCTAGAAGGATTTGAGCATGCGCTCGCGGCGACGCGCGCGCATGTCGCCCGCGTGGAATTTGTTGCACAGGATTCGCGGCCTGGGTGCATGACAGAGCATCGCGAGTGCACCGCGCGATGACGCGAAATCGCTGGATTTGACCGAATTCTTAAGATTCCTATGGTTTTCCTATGATTTCAGCAAGAGAGCCCGAGCAGGAAATTTGTAGATTTTTTGTGAAAAAGCATTTGGTTTTTGATGTTTTTATGTTGAAATGCTTGCACACACACGGTGTTCGGTAGGATTATGACATGAACGCGCGCGTGCTCTTTGTGATATTTTTTGCAATGGATTATCGCCGTGAACGACAGGACGTCCATGTCGAGAGGAAAAAATAAGAAACATGTTGATTTTGTATTGTTTTTTTACAGGTTAGGATGGGACCACCCGGATGGGGCCCCTATCTGCCGGCCTGAGGGGGGAGTAGGAGTATATTCTAATAAGGAGTAAGGATAGGAGTAGGAGTAGGAGTAGTAGTAGTAGTAGTAGTAGTAGTAGTAGTAGTAGTAGTAGTCGTAGTAGTAGTAGTAGTAGTAGTAGTAGTAGTAGTAGTAGTAGTAGTAGTAGTAGTAGTAGTAGTAGTAGTAGTAGTAGTAGTAGTAGTAGTAGTAGTAGTAGTATAGTAGTAGTAGTAGTAGTCGTAGTAGTAGTCGTAGTAGTAGTAGTCGTAGTAGTAGTAGTAGTAGTAGTAGTAGTAGTAGTAGTAGTAGTAGTAGTAGTAGTAGTAGTAGTAGTAGTAGTAGTAGTAGTAGTAGTAGTAGTAGTAGTAGTAGTAGTAGTAGTAGTAGTAGTAGTAGTAGTAGTAGTAGTAGTAGTAGTAGTAGTAGTAGTAGTAGTAGTAGTAGTAGTAGCGCCAGAACCGCCGACGCCACGCCGTAAGTGAAGCAGCAGCAGAAGCAGGCAGCAAGTCGCCGAGACAGCAGCAAAAGCAAGCAGGCACGGAGATGAAGGCGGGGCACTCGGGAATTCTGCCGAGACAGCAGCAAAAGCAGGCAAGCAGGCACGGGATGGAGGCGGATATTATGCGATAGTACGTCGGGTTTCATGTCTCCCGGCCGGTGTTATGTGCGAAACCTTCGTGAATCCTAAGGGCTCAAGCCGCCCCACTAAGGGCTCACGATGGCCCACAGATGGACAACATGCATGGAACATACGTGCGCACACACATACACACATATATAAGTACATACATATATATATATATATATAGCAGCAGCAATAGTGGATGCTGTGCTGCGCTATGCTATGCTATGCTATGCTCTGCTATGCTATGCTGCGCAATGCTATGCTGGGCTAGGCTAGGCTATGCTATGCTACGCTGCGCTATGCTATGCTGCGCTATGTTATGCTATGATATGCTATGCTTTTGCTTTGCCTTCGCTTTTGCCTTCACTTTTGCCTTTGCTTTTGCCTTTGCTTTTGCTGTTGCTTGGCACCCAAGGAGCGCAACTGGGGGAACCGCGCGTTTGCTTTTACTTTTGCTGTTGCTTTTGCTTGGCTCCCAAGGGACCGGGGGAACCGCCCGGGGCGAAGCCCACTGCCCGGCCCCTTTAAGCCCAGCGAGTAAGAACCCTCTAGGCAGAGCCTAGGTAGGGAAAAATGCACCCGTCCGAGCGATGCCAAGCACTCCGTGTGCTTTTTTCCACGCCCCAGCGAGTGGGTGGGAAGCGGAGGAGAAGGACCACCCGGCACCTCGATTGTCGCAGTGGCGCTCGCGGCCATCAGCGTCAACGTCATCTCGTCGTCGCCACGGTGGTCATTCTCGTCACCGTCAGCGTCAACTGGGGGGCAAAAAGCTGCCAATACCGCCAACCCCCTGACCTCTCCAGGAGTGCGTTCTGACCAGGATGTGGAGGCGATTCCAGCCGCGGCGACGAGGGATATGTAGCGGTATCGGTATTGGTTCCTCCTGTGGTCCATGCCGACGTCGTCCTCGTCGCCGTCGCCTTCGTCGTCGCCGTCGACGTCGTCGCCATAGTCGCCCACGCGGCGCGGGGCGACCGGTGGCGGGATCCTGAAGCCGGGCCTCGACCTCCTCGGGCGTCTCGACCACCTCTCCCGCAGAAGAGGGGGAGGAGAAAAGAGGGCCGGCCGAGAAGGGGGGAGGGCGGAGGGAGGGAGGCTCTTCGTTTTTCCTTCTGGTCGGGGGGCGGGAACAAGATCAAGGAGGCGCCACCGTAAGTAATCCATCAGCGTGCTACTAGCAAAGAAGCACAAGGCCGTCGGACCAAAACAAGGGAGGAACACGCTGGCGGGCTCTTGGCGGCACCGTGTCAGTCGGTCGTTCACGGGGCTTTCGGGAAATATCAGATTGAGGGGGCCGAGCGATCTTACACTGTCCTCGGCGTGATGCTGCAGAGCTGTTCCGCCGTGCGGGTTCATGAATTTCTTGGCCGCTGGTCCCGCACCGCGGCCCACCCGCGACCCGCCCAGTGATCACTTCGGCAAAACAGGCGCAACACTTGATCACCCCAAGGAGGACTCGCCAAGGGCTGCTGCACTTGCACGTTTGCGCCTACAGTGGGGGCGTTTCGAGCGGTCCGCTGGTTTGGGCACCCCCAGGTCCTCTCCGTTTAGCGCCGCATGACCACCGCGATGTAGTAGGCACAGCATCTGCGCACCCCAAAGGGTAGCAGCCATGGAACGATAAAATTGCCAGTCCGCGCAAAGATCGTGGGACCTGTCAAGAGACGTGGTGGCGTGGGCCCTCCCACCCCCTCCCTGATCAAAGTACCAAGATCATCCTGGCGTAAGAAGCCATCGAACTTTGAAACTTCAAAGGGGGGGCCGCCAGGGAGCGCTAAGTCGCCGCACGTTAACAGTTTTTGCTCGGACACCCACAGACGGAAGCGCCAGGACTTGAGATGCACATGATGCGATCTTCGCATCGAGCAACTGCGTTCAAGGTCGTGCCCCTTGCTGAACACCAGAGGATGTCAAAAGCGGTTCAAAGGATGGAAGTTGCTCGACCAATGCCCCAATGGGCTACGTACGCCCATGATGGCGGCATTGCGGTCGCAATCAACACCGCGCACAACAAATGCAAGACGCCTGCCCGTTCCCTATCCTCTTCCTCCTGAGCTGGGCTGAAGGGCTTGGTGTGGAAGGGATGAAGGTGCCTGCGAGCCTGTCTGCATGTGCCCACCTCCTGAGGGACAGAGCCCGCACTAGGAGTCGGGACGCCCCCCCTGAGACGCGTGCGCCTAAAGGGCAACCTACAGTCAGGTTAGAAGTGGAGAGATGCGGGCGTCGCCACCGGCATGGCCTGCAACATCTTCACAATTGGAAAGCCGCAGGTGGTGGCGGCCATGCTGTGTTGTTACCATTGTACGTTGCACCGCTCTCTCGGCAACTTCCGCCGCCCCTCTTGTGGACGGCGGGCCCGCGAAAGACGGCCGCCCCCTCCCCGTCCTCACCTCGCTCCCCGTCTCCTCCACGTCCTCCCCTTCCTCGTCATCCTGCTCGCCGCCGTCACTGTCCATCCTGCCTTCCTCGCCCAACTCGTGTCCTCACATCCTCCAACTTTCGGGGAGACGTAAGACTCGGGTACGGGGGACTCGGGTTGGCCTGACGGGGACCATCATAAAAATGACGAGACCCAATCTGAAATTTGACGCGGGCTCCCGCTGCAGACATCCCACGAAAACGGGACCGTCAAGATCCGGGACGCGCTCGTCGAAAAAGAAGTCGGCAAGCCCGAGCTCCGGCCTACTCGAGTCTTACGTTTCCCCGAAACTATGCGCCACAGGCTGCACCGTAGATGTGTTCGTGGCGGTTCTTCCCGCGTGCCTCTGGCCACCTAACTGTACGGCAAGGTGCCGCCCACGTTCGCGGGACGAGCCTGGGGGTGGCGGCGTGCCTGCCGTACCTATCAAGAGGCATTGGCGTGCTCTGTCAGCTCCGATGCGCCTGAGGCTGCGACCGTTGAGGTCACAGCAGCATCCGAACGCGACCAGCGAGGTCGCCACTGCCGTGCTTCAGCCGGGAACAAACACGAGATACTCGGGCCAAACTGCAAGCGCACGTGTGCCGACATAATGCACCAATATTTCCGGAGAGAACCCTGGGAGCTGAACAGTACCCTAAGATGCCCCAAGACGCCCCGAGAGGGCCACGAACTCCACATGAAGCCGTCTAGACGTCACAAGTACCCTGGAGATTCCAAAACCTCCCTCTAGAGTCCTTAGACCCTCCGTCAGCAGCAGCGGAGCGAGCATCAGAGGGTAAGATCAGGCAGCAACAGCATGCAGCAGCAGAAGCCCGAGTCACACACCCAGCAAAAGCAGGTAGCAGCAGCCTGCAGAAAGCAACAGCACGGAACAACAACAAAATGAGGCCTCCTGATGTTCAGGAGGCCTCTGAGGGGACCTCTGAGCTGTCAGCAGAGGCCTCCGAGCGCACGTCTTGCCACGAGATGGTTGCTTTTTGCTTTTTTGGGCCGCAGCATGGAGGCCGCCGTCGCAAAATCCTGTGGGAGCGCAGACTGGAAGCTCATCCTCGCGCGGGTCGACGGGTGGTCGAACTCCAGCGTCTCGGCGTGCAGCGCGGGGCGGGACACCACGCCCTCCGCTCCCAGCAGCCGCTCGAACAGGGCCACCCTGGCCGGGGTGCGGGGGCCGTGGACCACCTGAGCGCCGCCGTAGACGGCGTCGCCGAGGACCGGGCGTTGCGAGAGGTGGCCCTGGCCCAAGGAGCCTCCCAGCTCCTCGCGCCAAGTTTTGGGGATCTCTGGGGCCCTCTGGGCCCGGCGGGGGGTGCCCGGATGCTCTGGAAGCCGCGTCCTGGCTGGACGCCCTGTGGATCCCCCTGGGCCGGGGACGCCCCTGGCGACCCCCGAGAGGAGGGGGTGGCCCAGGTGGCGCGAGTGCACCCGAATCTGGTGCGTGCGCCCCGTCTCGAGCTTGAAGCGCACCAGGGACACGTGGCCGCCGTCCAGCTCCTCCACCACGGTGTAGTGCGTCACCGCCCGCTTCCCGCGGCCCTCCGGGAGCGCCGCCATGCGCAGCCGGTCCCCGGGGTCGCGCCCGATGCCCGTGACCACGGTGCCCGCGCGAGGCTGCGGCACGCCCCAGACGAGGGCCAGGTAGGTCCGGTGGGTGGAGCGCGCCGCGAACTGGGCCATCAGGGCGGCGTGGGCGCCCTGGTGCTTGGCCACGACCATGACGCCGCTGGTGCCCCGGTCCAGGCGGTGCACGATGCCGGGGCGCACGACGCCGGGGGTGGACGAGGAGAGAGGCCAGCAACCAGGCGAACGCCCGAGGGGGGTCGCCACCCCGGGGGGGCGTCGCCACACGCCGAGGGGCGGCGCCATGTCCTCGGGGGGAGGGCGCCCCCCCCCCCCCCACAAGATCGACCCCATCAAGGCGTCCAGAGGCCGCCTCGCGCGTCCGTCCTGGAGCATCGGTGCTCGGGGGGAACTGGTGGCCCCCCCTCGTGGTGAGCCCCCCCTGTGGCACTGCCCGGGGCACAGGGGAGGCGGGATATCATTAGCGGATGGGCCGCGTGCGGCCAGTCTTCCGGGCGCCCGGCATCGAGGAGCGAAGGGTGCCGGGCGGCGGGGGGCGAGGCGGCTGCGAGCAGCAGCATGCGCAGCCCCGCTTCCCCTGCAGCCAGGAGCGCTCCAGGAGCGCCACGGGATGCGGTTCTTGGAGCTCCCGAAGGGGGGGGGCCAATTGGAGCTCCCCCCCTTCTTGATCGATGTCGCCCAAGATGGCCCCAAGAGCGCCCCCAGAGCTCCCGAGGGCGCCCCAATTGAGGGCCCCAAGAGGCGCCCAGGCGGCCCCAGGAGGCGCCCAAGGGGCCTCCAGAAGAGGCTGCGCGGCGGCTCGGACGTCCACGCTCCGTGTGCAGCGCTTGGTGGCGTGCGCACTTCCTCTGAAGCTGATCCGAGATGTCCCAAGATGGTGCAAAGTTTCTGGCGGTGGCCTCGCCGAGCAACAAACACACACACACACACAAGCACGCACGCACGCGCGCACGCACGCACGCACGCACGCACGCACGCACGCACGCACGCACGCACACACGCACACACACACACACTCACGTCCGAGGCATGCCAAGGAGGGGGTCCTGGGCTCTGGGGGGGGGGCCTTGCCTTCCCAAGGACCGGCTCCTCGTCCTGAGCTGCCTCCTTGACAGGCCCTGGGCCCGAGGAGGGCCCGAGAGCCCGAACACCGCCAAAGAGCTGAGGACCCGCGATCCTCGGAAGGACGGTGATGATGACATGATGCGGTCGGTCTGGATACGTTCCTGAACCTCTTCCTTCCAAACCGTCCACATGGAAGGCGTGGACGGTGATCTTGTAAAACCGTGTCTTGAAGTGTCTCTTCGTATCTTTCTTGTCTTGGAATGTCTTGTTATATCTGTGTTTGTCTTTCCTGTCTTGGAATGTCTTGGAATTCTGGAGCACGTAAGCGCCCCACGATTGCGGATGAGACCGAAGGGGGCGAGCGCGGGGTGGAACGCGGGGTGGGGCGCGGCTGGGGCGCGGGTGGGTCGCCGGTGGGTCGCAGGGCGCAACGCGGGGTGGGTGGCGGGGGGGTCGCAGGTGGGTCGCGGGGGAAGACGACGACAATAACACTCACCTGACGACGACTGTTCTCTCTTACCTGCTCGCAGCGGCGGCCCCGGCGACACGCTGTGCCCTGCAAGCGGATAGCGTGTCGCTTCGCTCCGCGCGGCAGGCTGCTTCCAAAAGCTCACGAAGTTGACGCCCGGGGACCCGGACGTGGATAGCGTGTCGCGTCGAAGCGTGGTGGTGCGACCGCACCTCCTTCTGAGGAAACCAAAAGGCACCGATACCACTACTCCCTGGAACTCTCCCTGGGTACGTTCTGACCAAGATTTCGAGGCGAAACCAGCTGTGGCGACGAGGGCCTCCAGAAGGCCTAACACGGCCAGAACGAGGCTAGGGTAGTGGTATCGGTACATCTTCCTCGCCTGAACCCCTTCGCCCTCCCCGCGATGCTCTCGCCCGCGAAGCCGTCGGCGGAGCCGAACATGTCCCCGGCAGCCAGCTCGTGGGCGGCCCCGCCGCCGTCTCCCAGCTCGTCCTCGCTGCCGTCGCTGTCGCCCTCGCGGCCTCCCTCGGCCGCAGAGGCGGCCGGCAGCACGGCACCGCAGGCGCAGTGGTGCAGCAGCGCGTTCACGAGGGCTCGGGGGCTGCTCAAGATGCTCCTGGCCCGGGGCTCCCCTGAGTTCTTTGAAGGCTCGGGGAGGCCATCTCAGGCCAGCGTGCGTGAGGCTGGCGTGTGGGGCCGTCGAAGCGTGCGCAAGAAGTATGCGCTGGCATCCCATACGCTGCCTGGGGTGTGCCCGGACGAGGTAGGAGTGGTTGTGTTGGGTCTGGTCGTTGTCATGTTGGGTATGGCTACCAGTGTTAAAAATGGTGGTGTCCCCTGCAATGGCCATGAGGGGCCCAACCCTGGCCCAAGAAGCCCCCCGGCTTTTCGCTTCACGTTCGAGCCCCTGGGGCCCCCCTGGGCCTCGTGAAGGGTGCTCTGGGGGCCGCGGAGGTCGCCAGGGGCACTTCTAGCAACACCCGAGAGGGTCCCGGACCGCAGCCCTCCGGCGGGGTGCACGGACATGCCCGCGGGCTTCTCCAGCGCGATGCAATCGTCGTCCTCGTGGTATATCGTCAGCTCGATCGCCTCCGGCTCCACCGACCCCGGCGCCTCCCGCATGGCGTCGCGCACCCACGTCAGGCGGTCGCCCTTGCGCACCTTGGCCGAGGGCTTGGTCAAGGCCACGCCGTTGAGCAGAACCCCGCCGTCCTTTATGGCGCGCTGCACGCGACTGCGCGTAAGATCTCCCGCCAGGCGCAGAGGCAGGACAGCGTCTGCGCGCTTGCCGGCGTCCTCAGCGCAGACCTCGACAACGACAGCACGGCTCCCAAGCGCGTCGCCGACTGGCGCGCAGCTTGCCAAAGGCGAGTCACGGTCCATCGGACCTCCTGGTCACGGGTTCGCGAGCCGCATACAACTTCTGGACTGAAATATTTCGAACCCAGATTGGTACTGCGCCGAAGTCCTACCTACCAGATTCGTCCATACGAAGAGGGGCTTACAGCAGCCCCGGTACCCCTGTACTCAAGTGGGAAACCTACTCGAATATGACAACTTTCCATTCGAATATGGCACCACGAATGTTTCGGGTACAAAGTCCCCTCAAATCCGTGTACGCCCTCGGAACGCACTGTAGGGCCTCGTGGAAGAAGAATTGATTCTTATGAGCATGGCAGAGATATGCTCGCTTCGAAGGGTTCGCCACCTCACAATCCAGGAGTCCAGGCCGCACTGCGCAGGTCATGAACGTTTGGCATCCAATGTCACATTTCTGCCTGGTCTTCTGAGCCTTCTGATTTTAACCTTCTGAACAATTCGAGTTCCTGGACCTCGTGTTCGAAATCATGGCGCTGGACACAGATTTGCTCGAATTACGTCAGACGCCAGACCAGTGAGAGAGGACGCCCCTGCAAAAGTGGATCCATGGGACGCCAGTCAGGACATCGATCGTTCGAAGATACACTGCGCTAGTTATGCGGACCAGATATGGAGGATTCTCGCATGACTTCGATCGCTCGCTTTCAGATTCACCACCCTGTTGGGCACGTCCTTGCATGAGCTGACAGTGGGGGCCAGTCCACAGGAAACCTTCCACAAGAAACCCAACCCTGAGATCCAAGGACGTCCGTTGATTTTTGGCGTGGGAGCGTAACGCTCTCCATCGCAAAACAATCAAACCCAAGAAACCCAGGGCACCCTGGAGGCAAGCAGGGTGCTTCTTGGTATGGGTCTCAACTGCGCCTGGAACAAAGCAAAGCAAACACGAGAATACATCGACCCTACTGGCGCCGAGTATATCTGCTGGGGTCAGCAGGGGCCTCGAGAGGCTGGCCACCCACACAGGGCAGAGGACGTCCGAACACCTTGACCCTGCTCGCCCTCCTCGTCCTCCTCGATCTGGGATCCGCCACCTTCTCCACCACTGTCCTCATCCTCATCTTCGTCCTCCTCCACCCTCCTCCCTCCTCCGCCCGCCTCCTCCTCCCCAATTGCTATTCCTCCCCCCCCTCCCGCCTCCTCCTCCTCCTCCTCCTCCTCCTCCTAAACATCATCACCATAATCAGCCTCATCATCGTCGTCGTCATCTTCGTCATCGTCATCGTCAGCATCATCATCATCAGCATCAGCATCATCATCATCATCATCAGCATCAACATCATCGCCATCATCATCAGACCTAGCAGCACCAGCAGCATCAGCATCAGCATCATCATCATCCTCATCAGTATCATCATCAACATCCTCCTCCTCCTCATCATCCTCAATATAATCAGCAGCATCATCATCGTCATCATCATCTGCATTGTTATCGCAATCGGCATCAGCATCAGCAGCATCATCACCACAATCGTCATCAGCATCATCATCATTATCACCAACATCATCATCAGCAGCATCATCATTACAATCATCGTCATCACCGTCATCAGCATCACCATCAACATCATTAGCATCAACATCATCATCATAACCACAAACATCAGCATCATCATCAACATCATCGGCAAAATAATCATGATCCAATTCCTCCCCCATCCTCCAACCTCCTCCTCCTCCGGATCATCATCATAATCATCGTCCTCCTCTCATCATCATCATCAGAATTGCCATCATCATCAGCATCACCACAATCAGCATCATCAGCATCATCGTCACCACAACCATCAGCATCATCATCAGCATCATCAGCAGAAGTATCAGCACCATCACCATCCTCACGACGACCAGCATCATCATCATCAGCAGCATCAGCATCGCCACCATCATTTGCAGCAGCATCGTCATCACCACCACCACCAACAAAATCATCGATGTCATCATCATCATCATCAGCATCACTACCCTCACCATCATCATCATCACCACCACCACCACCATCAACAGCACCATCAGCATCACCACAACCATCATCCTCATCATCCTCCTCCTCCTCCTCATCATCATCATCATCATCATACTCATCATCATTATCATCATCGTCATCATCATCATCATCAACAACATTACCAGCATCATCAGCATCACCATCATCAGCACCACCATCATCATCTCACTTCCTGAAACAAGTCTAGGTGATTGGACGCTGTTGGCCCTTTTCGGTCATCCAGGGTTTTTGGACGCTGTTGGGCCTTTTCGGTCCTCCCGAGGCCTGCGCACACCTCGAAGGACTAACGGAGACCTTGGGAGAGCTCTGGGATCTCCAACAAACCCCTGGAACCCCTCCTCCTGATCCCTCGCCCCTGACGCACTTACCCAAATGTTTAAACCTCCCAGGAAACCACCCGAAACCCACACTGCTCACTGGATCGCCGCTGACCCCCCCAGCAGACTCGAACAGCCCCCCCCCCTCCTCCTGCCTCCTCGTCCTCCTCCTGGTCGTCATCCTCCTTCTTCTCCCTCCTCCTCCTCTTCCTATTCCTCCTCCTGCTCATCCTCCTCTTCCTCATCCTCGTCCTCCTCCTCCTCCTCGTCCTCCTTCTCCTCGTCCTCCTGCCTCCTCGTTGTCTTCCTTCTGCCTCCTCGTCGTCATCCTCCTGCTCCTCCCTCCTTTGCTCGAAAACCAGTGGGGGTGGAGCAGGAGCTGCCCATCACTGAACGCAGCCTGGCTCCAGGCATCCGCAACATTGAAGTGGCTCCATGAGGGTCGTCCTGCGTACCCAGCCCTCCTCCCAGTGCTGAGAAGCAGGTGCTGCGGTGGCATCCTCCTGCGGAGGAGGGATGGAATCCTCCTCCTCCTCCTCCTCCTCCTCCTCCTCCTCCTCCACTCCCCCTCTTACTCATCATCGTCCCGCCTGTTCCTGCCCCTGTTCTTCTCTTCACTAGAGCTGCCTTGGCGGAGCACGACAGGAGAAGAGGAGGACAGAAGGAGGGGGAGATGAGAACAGAAGTCAAGTGCATGGGTCGGTTGGGAGCGGGGGGGGGGGCGACGGAGGAACGGCACCAAAGAGCGTCAAGGAGGGAGTGATGCATGGAGTTAGGGATGTGGGGGAGGGCATCGGCTGGCCACAGATGGGGCCTCGAGGGGTGGGGCCCTCAGGACGAGTGGCCTCCAGCAGTGAATGTTCAGCCCTCACCTCAGCAGTGAATGTTCAGCCCTCCCCTCACTATCCCTGGAGGCCCCGCCCCTCAGTATGGCCCCATCACCGAACCGCCGGAACAACTAGGGAAGCGCAGGGCGCCGACGGCACGAAGCCTTTCCTCGAATCCGGCCGGCCCATCCGCCCCCGAAGTCCTTGGGGGGCCCACCCCTCGGGGCCCCATCACTCAACCACCAGTGAACAGACATGCGACGTCCTGCTTTTTGCAGGACGGCATCCCTGGAAGCCCCGACCCTCTCCCCAAGACCGGCTTTTCGTCCTGCGCCGTCTGGGCCGTCTCTGGACGGTCCCGAGGCCCAGCGAGAGCCTCCCAGGGCCGAACATGGCCCAACAACCTCCCGTGCTGCTTTTGTCGCGGCGCGACCATGTCTGGGGAGGGCACCGACGGCACGAAGCCTTTACCTCGAATCCGGCCGGCCCATCCGCCCCCGAAGCGCGCCTCCGACCACCACTGGCCCTCCGGCACGAGCGCCCAGTCGACCTCGCGGAGGAGGGCCGCTCGAGGCAGCGGCGTCGCCCCCTCGCGCGCTTCGATCTTGCTGGATCTCGTCTGGGAGCTTCGCGTCGCCACAGCTGCATCCGCGTCGAAGCACTGGCCAGGATGGACTTGAGCGGATTTCGGCTGCGAGACCGTCGATACGCCCCCAGTCAAATTCCCGCCCTCCTACCTCCTCTACTTCCTCCTCCTCCTCCTCGTGCTCCTCCTCCTCGTCCTCCTCCCCCCTCCGCCCACTCGCCGTCCTCGTCCCACCGTTCCTCCCCCTCCTCCTCCCCCTCCTCCTCCTCCTCCTCCTCCTCCTCCCTCCTCCTCCTCCTCCTCCTCCTCCCCCTCCTCCCCCGTTCCTCCCCTCCTCCTCCCCCTCCCCTCCTCCTCTCCTCCTCCTCCTCCTCCTCCTCCTGCTCCTCCCCCTCCTCCTCCTCCTCCTGGGAGCCTGGGAGGGACTCGGGGACTGACTCTGAGCGGATGTCCGCTCGGCGGGGGAGCCGCCAGGGTCTCCACTGGCCCTCTCTGCGAAGCTCCCCCCCCTCCTCCTCCTCCTCCTCCTCCTCCTCCTCTCCTCCTCCTCCTCCTCCTCCTCCTCCTCCTCCTCCTCCTCCTCATCCTCCTCTATGATATTTTTACTGCGCCGCGACGCTCGCGTACACAACAGCGCCTGCGTACCGGCTGCGCGGGCTGGTCGCGGGGCCCGGGCGGCGGCGCTTCTTCGCACGCGCGTGCGCACGCTCTACCTGTTGCCCGCGGGCACTCGGTGACCAGCCTCGAACCTATCCCTATCCCTACGCTGGGCGAGCAAAAGGAGAGGACGATCTTAGGGATGCGCCCCCAGAAGCCGGGGGAATCCTTGAGATCGGCACCGAGGCGAGGTGGTGCCGAACACAGGGATAGGGACATGCTGCAAACTGGTAATTCGGGGCATCGGGGCGAATCATGCGGCGGTCGCAAGGCCCCCCGGCACCGTGCGCTCCAAGCGAGCCGCCGCAATCGAAGGAGGGCTCCGAGTGCGAAGGCCGGCTCGGGAGGCAGAAGAAGGCAGGGCGCGTGCACACCCTGCGCGGAGTGGCGACCCAGGGTCGAGAAACCAGGCGGTGAGGGGCAGCACACACACACACACATCACACACACGCTTGTTTGGGCGTTGCGGCCATGCGCGCGGCGACGCGGACTGAACAGTCGAGAAGAGCGTGCGCGCGGCTGGGCCGGCTCACGCGGCGGAGGAACAGGGATCCGCCCATGGGGGATCAGCCAGGTCGTGGACACATACAGACACACACGAATGCGGACATGTAGCTGCCTGTGCATGCGGGCCAACCACACGGCGAACGAAGTATTGCCTCGCTCTGCGCGGGGCTGCGCTACCTTGAGTCGCGCTGCGCTGCATCACACTGAATTGCATCGTAGCGCGTCGCAGCACCTACGATTACGCCCCGCCCCGAAGCGAGCTCGTGACGGCACGCACACACACTAAGTTCTGTGATCCTTTCGCGGCGTAGAGCGATGCGGCACTACCAGGCGAGACGCAGCACAAGTGTACCATAACCAGGCATGCGGTGTCCTGATTGTTTCGGCACGGGGTCCCCGGTGAGCAGGAGGAGGAGGAGCAGGAGGAGGAGGAGAAGGAGGAGAAGGAGGAAGTGGAGGAGCAGGAGGAGGAGGAGGAGGAGGAGGAGGAGGAGGTACCGACCCTTTCCTCAGGGCTGGCTTCTCATCCCAAGTCAGTGTGCTGACGGTCCCACGGCCCTCCGAGGGCCCCCTGAGATCGAAAGCAGCAGCACAGCTCCCATCGTGTTTTTTTTTCAAGGACGCGGGCATGCCCATCGCCCACTATGAAGATCCTTGCGCTCGGGATGTATACTCCAGATTTCGTAATAAAAGAGAGGGGGTCTGGACCCTCCAAGACAAGCCATTTCAGACCTCCCCCGTGGGAGAACCCTCCAAAACATCGTCCCCAGACCCCCCAGGCCCTCCAAGATAGCCTGGAAGAGACCCCCCCCCGAAATGAGACCCCCCTCCCTTTATTACGAAACCTGGAGTACCAAGATGGGCGCGTGGCCTGAGGCGGGGGGGGGGCTGTTGGAGACTAAGGCTGTGCTGTGCTAAGCGTTGCGTGGAAGAGAAAGGCTCTGTGGTAACGGGTAGCGCCAGGGACCCATACCCCCTCGGGTCATGAACAAATCGCGACGGACGGTTATTCATAGTTCTCGGCCTCCTCGGGCCCTCGCTGGGTCCAAGGACTGTCAAAATCGCCTGAGGATGAAAAGCCTGTCCCTGGGAATGGGTCGATACCTCTGGGGTCGACCTTTTTTTCGAAAACGATCTTGGTCACGTCTCAGTGCTCAAGCGGCGGTGCTGCTGCTGGCCGTGTTCGTAAAAACAGCGTGTTTCTCAACGAATTGCCTCCGTGCTTCCCAACGAAGACATTATCACCACATCCTCCTCGCACTACTCGGTGGTGGCAGAGCCGTGCCGATGCGTCATGCCTGGCGACTGGCTCCCAACATGCTGCGTAGACCTGTGGTGCCCGCCGCACTGCCCGCCTCGCACAACTATGGCAAAGCCTTGCTGCTGCTTTGAACCATCGTGCTACCGGAAGGCATGCTGCATTCCAGCTGAGTGTCACGCTGCTGGGATCTGGCGCGTCACTCAACGAAGAGGTGCCCGACTCGCGTCTCGGCCCACTCTGGGATGCTGCCAGAGTTCTTGACGCAGGCCGCCGTCCCGATACTCAGCGAATTGTTGCATGGCTGACTTCCCTCCCCATCCTGGCATGCAGAGAACGTGTTGCCGTCATGACGCGTATCGCGGTGCTGCAAAGTATTCAGAAAACAGCGCTGACCACCCTTTTATGCCTTCCGCTGCCTGGAGAGGCCTGCTGGGTGTTCCTGTCGGGCCACTCGCCCCAAATGCGGCGCGCTTCGCATCGCTGCCTCGTGCGCCTGCCGCGACCGGCACTTGAACACCTCGAGTCGTAAGGATCCAAGGCCAGACCCGGGATGACGAGGTAACTGCCTGGACCTGCAGCTTAAGGCGTACATGCACCTCGAAAACCACCCTTCGGGTGACCCGCCACTGTGCCGCAAGGCACGAGTTAGAGTGCCCTCAGATTCCTTTTTAGCCCTCAGCCCTCAGTCCGCAGAATCGAGAAGTCTGGGGCCCGGGCCCCACACTCTCAATTGTTCCACGGGTTCTGGCTTGCATCTCGCGGTCCCCGGCACTTCCCGCATCACGCTTTCGAGGCCAAGAGCACCACAAGACGGGCCAAGAGGGTCCCGGAACAGACACGGTGGCGGGATGGGCCGAAGGCCAATCCGCCGCCCCCTTTTGATTTATCAAAGGGGTGCCTGGCGTGCTGGACCCGCTCGGTTTTGGTTTTGGCTCTTTTTCCAAAAGAACTCCGCCTGGGGCTTCGGTCCGTCCCGCCGGCCACCCGGAAAATCCCCAAAACGCGTCCGTCGTGCCTCTGTTTCCTCCAGTTGGCCCAAGATGGCGTCCAAGACGGCCAAGATGGCCCAGGATGGTCTCCAAGACGTCTCCAAGACGGCCCAAGATGACCTCCAAGACGGCTCAGATGGTCCCAAGATGCCTCCAAGACGGCCCAAGACGTACCCAAGACGGCCTCAGATAGCGCAACAGGCCCGCAAGAGGCCTCCAAGACGGCCCAAGAGCCCTCGAAGACGTCCTCCAGGAAGGCCCGCAAGGGCCCAAATCATTGATTGTCCCTAGGTTTTTGAAGGATTTGGGCATTTGCGCCTTTTCGGCTTTCCGACGGCCCAAGATGGCCCAAGAGGCCCCCAAGATCGCCCAAGAGGCCCCCCAAAGGGCCCCATGACGGCCCAAGTGGCCTCCAAGACGGCCCCAAGAGGGCCCCAAGACGGCCCAAGAGGCCTCCAACACGCCCAAGATGGCCTCCAAGACGCCCAAGATGGCCTCCAAGACGGCCCCGAACCGAAGCGCCCCAAGAGAGCCCCAAGTCGGCCCAGAAGGCCCCCAATACGGTTCCCGACGGCGTCAGACGTGCCAGGAACCCACCAAGATGGCCGAAGTTGGCTCGAAGCTGGCCCAAGACGGCCCAAGAGGCCCCCAAGAGGGCCTCCAGGAAGGTAAGAAGAGGCACAAAACATTTATTTCCCTAAGGTGTTTGACGGATTTTGACATGTGCTTCTTTTCGGCCTTCCGACGGCCCGAGACGGCCCAAAAACCCCCGAAGATCGCCGAAAGATCGCCCAAGAGGCCTCCAAGATGGCCCCAAAACGGCCCAAGAGGGCCCCAAGACGGCCCCAAGAGGCCCCCAAGACGGCACAGGAGGCCTTTAAGACGCCCAAGATGGGCCTCCAAGACGGCCCTGGAGCATTCCAAGAGGGCCCCAAGTCGGCCCATAGAGGCCCCCCGGGGCGGGCCCGTCGACGGAGGATGCGGCGGGGCGCCAGCGACGCGGCCTCGCGGCGCGAACGATGCTGGCGACCCTCACCCTCGCGCGTCATGCCAGGGCGCGCAGCTGCCCGGCAGGCCCGCCACGGCCGGCGCGAGGCGGAGGAGCACGTAACTCGTCGCCCGCGCCCGAGAAGCCGCTCGTCTCACGAGCGCGTCCGCTACGAACCACAGCGCGGCCCCCCGCGCGCCGGCCCGTGCCTATCAGCGCCGTCGGCGCGCGCTCCCCCTAGCAGGCCTCGCCGCGAGTCTCCACGCATAGCCGCTCGCCCTCGCCCAGCGGCGCCTCGGCCACGGCGGCGGCGGCGGCGGGCTCAAAGTCGTCGGCCGCGGCCAAAGCGGGGCCCGCCTCGTGCTCTCCCGCGGCCAATTCTCCCCCCTCGACCAGCAGGCAACCGCGCTCGAGATTCGCGACCAGGCCCGTCGTCGACCCGCGGAAGAGATGGGTCGGACCGCGACCCCAGCCGATGGCCCAGGTGCACCTCGACGCCGCCCTCCAGATCCTCAGGGTGCATGTCCACGTTGGGGGTCGACACCACCCAGAGCGAGTCAACGACGGACGTGCACAGCAGACCCACATGCCATGAGCACAGCAGACCCACATGCCAATCCTGATCGTGGGAGACGAACGCCCCTTGGCCCTGCCGGAGAGGCGCGGCCATTCTGGCTGCAATGTTGCTGAAATAGGTGGCGTCGCCCTCGCTATCGCTGGAGTTGCGACGGGGCCAAGCCGCGACCGGCCCCCCCGTGCAAGCCGCGCCTGGGAGGAACATGATAATGCAGCTCAGGCGGATTTCGTTCGCGGGCGCCGCCAGGTCTGGCCCGCGGCGCTGGGGCGGCCCCTCAAGCAGCTGCAAAACGTTTTTGTCGAAGGCGAAACGTCGCCGAGGTCGACGCTTCAGGCACTGCGCTGCCCGTGCCACGCGGCGCGCAGATGTGTCAGAACTCGGCCGTCGCCCATCCCATCGACAAACGAATTTGCCGACTCGAAGGACAAAATTTGACCCAAAACGAATGCGGGCCATGCAAATGCGCAAGGCAAGCCAACCCACGACTTCCAACACATTCTCGCCCATTCTGGCTCCCAAGGGCCCAGGGCACCGCGCAGGTCGCCCCGAGACGGCCCAATAATGCCTCAATAGGGCCCCGAGAGTGCCCCAAAGGGGGGGAACGCCAACTGACGCGCCGAACTCTCTGCCCCAAGATGAACCCCGAGACCGCCGGCAAACCCAGAACACTTACTTCGACGGTAAGACGCCACGTGAGAATCCTCTCGGCGAACCTGGAAATGCCGCTAATCGCCGTCCGTGATTGGTGAGGCGCCCTTACTGTTTCCACTGCATTATCCTTCTCGCCCTGGCGCAGGCCATCCCCCCCCCTCTGCGTTGCCTCCTCATCGCCCTTCAATTCTTCATGTTTTTTCCCCGCCCCCGCCACCCCCCTCTCTATTGCACGAGCGCGCGTGCCGATTTTCCTCGGCGCCGTCGCCGCCTCGGCAAGCACGGGCGCATTCTCGAAGGGCCACGTCGCGCAGCCGTTGGGGCAAGACCGCGGGCCAGGCCGTTGGGGCAACCCTGCGAACTGCTGGGGCACGGGAACAATCCGTCGGGACAACCCCGCAGGCACCGAGGCAGTCGCGGCCGCATTCAGGCGGGAGGCAGCACGAAACCCAGCTCTGCCGCGAGCTGCTCCGCCTTTGCCCTGGAACTCTCCACTCTCTTGCCGACTTCCCTTGGGCGCCTTCCGCAGGGGCGCGGGCGGCCCGGTCTCCACAAACTCCCGCGGGGGCGGCCGCAGGATCATCATGCTCCGCATGCGCGTGGCGCGGGAAAACGTGACGAGGAGATGCAGCCACCACTGGCCGTCCGACATACTCGCGCGGCCAGCGTCCTCGTCCCTCGCGCAATCGATGGTGACGCCCTTGCGCGGCGTTTGGCCCTGCGACAACGTGGAAGTGAGGTACGGCGCGCGCCTCAAAGTGAACCCCGAACGGCGCGCGCGTGCGCAAGAGCGAATCCCGACCTGACTTCCTCCATATTCATGCCCGAGGAGCCGGGCCAGATTCCAGGTTGAAGGTGTCCCAGTGGCCCGCTCGAATACCAACATGGAGGTTCACTTCTGGGCATTCCTCGCAAGTCACTCACAGACGAGGCTCCCGCTTGAGACCTCGTCAAGGTTCAGGCCTGGGGAGCCCGAGAATGACGACAATGACAAGGTTCCGATGGCCCGTTCGGATACTGCATATATATATATATATATATATATATATATGTATGCACACGAACAAACACAACACGCAAAAACAACGACATGCGGGACCCATGCGGAGGGGGGCTCCCGCCTAAGTTTTCTTCGAAATCCACTCACAAACGAAGTTCCCGCCTGAGCCTTCCTCGAGATTCAAGCCCAGGGAGCCCAACAATGAAGACAGTTACACGCTTCTGACGACCCATTCAGATCAAGAACATGATGTGCGCGACAACAAATAACGACGGTTACACATTGCCGATGACCCGCTCGGATGTAAAACAATATGCGCGGAACCCATTGGCAGGGGGTTCCCGCCTGAGACTTCTTCGCGATTCACTCACAGACGCGGCTCCCACCTGAGACTTCGCCAAGATTCAAGCCTGATGGGCCCGAAAGTGACCACAATTACAAGTTCCCGATGGCCCGTTCGGACCAAAAACAATGATGTGCGGGACGACACAAATGGCGATGGTTACAAGTTGCCGATGACCCGCTAGGATTTAAAACATGAAACGCGGGACCCATAGGTACGGGGCTCCCGCCTGAGATTTCCTCGCCTTTCACTCACAGGCGAGGCTTCCGCCTGAAACTTCGCCAAGATTCAAGCCTGAGGGGCCCGAAAATGACGACGGTTACAAGTTTCCGATGACCCGCTCGGATGTAAAACAAGATGCGCGGAACACATTGGTAGGGGGCTCCCGCCTGAGACTTCCTCGCGATTCACTCACAGGCGCGGCTCCCACCTGAGACTTCGTGAAGATTCAAGCCTGATGGGCCCGAAAGTGACAAAAATTACAAGTTTCCGATGGCCCGTTCGGACCAAAACATGATGTGCGGGAAGACACAAATGGCGATGGTTACAAGTTGCCGATGATCCGCTAGGGTGTAAAACATGAAACGCGGGACCCATAGGTACGGGGCTCCCGCCTGAGATTTCCTCGCAGTTCACTCACAGACGAGGCTTCCGCCTGAGACTTCGCCAAGATTCAAGCCTGAGGGGCCCGAAAGTGACGACGGTTACAAGTTTCCGGTGACCCGCCCGGATTCTATATATATATATATACATACATACATATATATATATATATATATATATATATATACATATATATATACGTGTCTATATATATATATATACCACTGAAGCGCGGGACCCGTAGACAGGGGGCAGTGCGGACCCCATCGGGAAAGGGCTTCTGCCTGAGGCTTCATTCAAATCACCTTAGACTTACCTTACAAACGAGGTTCCCTCTTGGCCGATGATCAGGACGGGACGGTAATAACCATGAGTATGTGATGGTAGTGATGGTGATGGTGGGTGATGGTGGGTGGTGAATGATTGATGATGATGGTAAATAATGCTGGTGCTGTGGAAAAGAGGGTGTGTAGGTGTGATGGTGATAATGAATGAATGCGTGTGTGTGTGTGTGCTGATGAGATGCTGCTGCTGATGATGATGGCACTGTTGATGATGAGTGTGATAACGATTGTGATGGTGATGGTGATGCGGTGGAAGGGAAGGGGGAAGGTGACAGGAGATCCTTCGCGGAGGTGTGCAGAGAAAACAAAGGCCCCACTTAGGATTTTGGGAAAAAAACAAAAGCCCCAGGAGGCCTGCACGAGGCCGAAACCAGGCCCCCTCGAACAGAATTGCGGGGGGACACCAAAAATATCCCCACAGGCATCCAAGAGGCCATTCATCTATAACGCAGGCACGGTGGCGGCATTGGCCGAACGCCACTCGATCCGCCGCCCCCCATGGTCTTGCCACAACATGGGGTGCACGCGAGGGTCTCAGCCCAGCTCGCCTGCCACCCGGGAAGCGCCTCAAAAGTTCACACCATTTGGTCAAATCGCCTCCACCACGGCTAAGATGGCCCAAGATGGTCGCCAACATGGTCCCGACACGCCTCCAAGACGGCCAACAAGGCCCCGAGAAACCCAAAGATGGCCTCCAAGACGATCCGAAGATGCCTTGAAGACCGCCAACATGATCCAAGAGAGTCCACCATTGATTTTCGCAGGTTTTTGTAAGGTTTTGGCGGTTGACCCAAAACGGCCCGCCGACGGCCCAAGTCGACTCAAGAGGCCTCCAAAATTGCCCCAGAGGCCCATAAGATGGCCCCAGGACGGCCCAAGAAACTCTCAAGATGGGCCCCAGAGTACCCCGAGACGGCCTAAGGCCTAAGAGGCCTCTGGACGCCAAATATGGCCTTCAAGACTATCCCTGAAGCGCCCCAAGAGGGTCCCACGACGGCCCAGAAAGGCTCTCAAGACTAATTACAGCGTCGGACGGGCCAGGAACGCCGTAAGATGGCCAAAGAACCCCCCAAGAAGCCCACAAGGTACCCCACCAAGAGGCCCAAGGAGGTCCCCAAGAGGCCTCCAAGAGGCCCCCAGGAAGCACCCAGGAGGCCCAAATAATGACCCAAGAAGCTACAAAGAAGTCGCCTCATCCTGCTTTTCCATCCCTTTCCTCATCTTCCGTTTCCTCCCCTACGTGTTCCCCGAAGAGCTTCCACGACGAGTGGGGGGACGCATGGTCACATAAGCCACATAACGGGCCACATAAGCGTAGACTGAAAGGCAGAGGGCGGCAGAGATTCGCCGTAGGCGTCTTCGATCCTCCGCCTCTTGTTGGCCTGCCACAGGGGTGCACGACGTGCTGGACGCTGGGTAGTTTTAGCCCTTCGAAAAAGTGTCCACAGGCCTCCGGCCCTGCCCGCTGGCCAACCGTAAAGCCCTGGGAAGTCCGTAACAATGTCTTGTCCGCCGGTTCTCCCGCGGCACCGATGGCCCCAAGACGGCCCACGATGCCAACCCAAACGGGCTCCTGAAGTTCCAAGTGGTGCTTCAATTATTCCCAACCTTTCTGTTGTGTTGGGTCCTGGCTATGAGAGGACAGCGCCCCACGTCACCTCACCTCCCACCTCCCTCCTCCTTCCTCCCATTCCTGCGTCTGCCCTCCACACGTCGATTTTGGCACGTCCCTCGCACCGTTCATAGCCCCATAGGGAGCTCCAACTAAGGCCCCAAGGGGGGAGACACATGTGGCCCCTCAGCCATTTCGGCACACCCCTCAGACGCTTCGTGGTCTCATAGGGGGCTCCAACTAGGTCCCAAGGGGGCTCATAAAAGGGGTTCATAGGGACCGCATGCGGTCTCCTGGTTTGTTCCGGCGCACCCATCACACGTTTCGTGGCCCCACGGGGGGCTCCACTTACGGCCCAGTGGCAGAACTCGCACGCGCCCCGAGGCCCGATGCGGCACACCCCTCACAAGTTCCGTGACCCCGTAGGGCGATCCAACGAAGGCCACATTGGCAGCGCCCGCATGGCATCCCCAGACACATTCTGGCGCACCCCTCACACGTTTAGTAGCCCCACGAGGATTTTCACCGATGGCCCCGATGGCAGCGCCCGCGCGCGTCCCAAAACCCATTCCAGCACTCTCCTCACACGCTTCGTGGCCCCATCATGAATTCCTCCGAAGGCCCCAATGGCAGTGCCCGCGTGCTCCATCAAGGCCCACTTCGACACACCCCTCGCACGGAGCGTGGCCCCACAGGCAGCTCCACTGAAGGCGATACTCACCAGCGCGGCACTCACGCTTGGACATGGTTGGTTCTTTCGCCAGGGTCCGCCACCACCCCTGCGGCACATTGAAGCGTGCAAAAATGTCAGGGGTTGCCTGGGAGGGTTTTTTTGTCGGCAACGCATGAGCACATCAAGGCACCGTGCAGAGGATGTGAAACAATAACCCCGGACCAAAAAAAATGGGGACTACGCGCTGGGATCTCCTCCTCCTCGCTTCCTCCGTTTGGATGGCGGGGTGGATCGGAGGCAACGGGCCCGTGCACCCTGGTCTTCTGGAGGACGCTGGGCCTCGTCTGTCTCGCAGGCTCGTCGGCGATCAGGCTCGTGTGGCCGGCCGCCCGCGCTGCCTTCGTCAAGGCAGCGTCACGCTCCTCAAGCTGTCTGTAGACCTCGTCTGAGACACGAGGGAGCTCGAGGGCCAAAAACTCTTCTTGGCACGACTTGCCGCGCGCTGCGCTCCTCACCCTGCGTTCTAGCAGGTGTTTGACCAGTCTCGCGCGGCAACCGGATTCAACGCCGCAGACCGGGCACCTCAAAATGTCGCCGACCATCCGGCGAACCGAGCTTCTCATGCGATGCTTTGACCACATGTGCGTGGATAACTGGCGATGGGTCTCAAGAGACACCTTGCAAACTGCACGCTCAAACTTCACTGTGGCGCATGGGTCTGCGTGATGGCGCTTGCCCCGCGGACCCTGCGCACCTGGTTGGTTGTGCGTGTCGTCATTGACTGTGAAGTACGATTTGACCAGAGATTTCCATTCGCCTGGGTGCGTCCTTGCCAGCACCCACCAAGGCTGGAAGCGGTCAGACGGCGACGGCATCTCCCCGAGCTTCCCAGGTAGATGAGCACGTATCACATCGAGGTCCTGAAAGAGGAGTTTCACCCACGGGAGCAGCTCGCCGGCAGGGGTGCGCTGCTGCAGCACTGCGTGCAAGGGTTCGAGTGATACCCTTGGAAGCCGCGAGAAGTAGAGCAGCCTTCTCCGCCTGAGCGCACAATCCAGCGAGGCCACTTGCAGCATCTGCCGCACTGCGACGTCAGTGAACCTGGTCCGGCGGTAGCGCGGGTCGTTGGCTACCCTTCGCCACGCGCGCATATACATTGTGTTGAGCGACTGTTTCTAACTTTCCTCAAGCTTCTCCCAAATCTGGGAGTTGTACAGCAGCTTCGACATGATCAACGAGTGCGTCACATGGACGCGCCGGCGGAGACTGACATGCCGGAGCAACGCCCCAAGGGGAGCCAATGAATTCATTGCAGATTTGCACCTGTTGCGCACCTCGGGGAACATGCTGCCGTTCTCCTCGATGATGTCTCCAAGGTGCTTGTATTGCTTGACGATGCCAACCTCGACGGCCTGGTCCAAACCGTCCGAGGCTGACTTGCGCCTGTGTCTGCGTTTCTTGCCACCCACCGGAAAAGTCTGCCGGCCGTTGGCTTTCCGCAACTTGAACTTCTCTGTCCTTGCACGCTTGCCTCTCCACATCAATATGCCCTCTGTCTTGCCCGCTTTCCAGTTGATATCCAAGGCGTACTTGTGGAAACAACGGCGCAGCGAGTTGACTACGAAAGCAAACTTGGTAGACATAGTTTTGGGAACTGCTGTCACAACCATCGCGGCTTCGTCGTCAACGAAGGTGATGTCGAGGATGCTGCGCTCGTCTTGCGCCGAAGCGTCAGCCTGGTCTTGTTTGAAAGGGCCTCCTCTGGAGAAGCGCACCTTGACCGGGATGCTGTGGGCTTCGCAGTCGGCATAGAACTCTTTCAGAGCCTTGCCGTACACGACGTTGAACAGGATGCTGCCAAACAGGCAGCCTTGGCGGCCACCTCGCCTGACAACCAGCTTGCGCTTGGCTCCTTTCATGCGAAACCAAGAAGGAGAGTGCATCGACTTGAGCAACTTCGCGCTGGCGCCCGTGATGCCCATTTCCGTCAGAATTGTGCCCTTGGCAATCTCCTGGGCGATGCCGTGGGCTTGCGCGCTGGACAGCCCCAGCTTCCGCAAAGCAGCGATGCCACGCTGCCAGCGCATGGTGTCCGACGGTCCCGTCTGGAACCGTCCGAACACGAGCTCTCTGATCACGCGGTCATACGCCTTGGTGAGGTCCAAGAAAAGCAGCCCAAGGGACTTGCCCCATGTCTTTGTGTACGCCTGCACATTTCGTAAGAGGTGGCTGGCGAAATCGGTCCCCTTGCCCGCAGCAGCGCCGCACTGCACGTCAGGTATGTACTGTTCGTACGCACGCGCGTAGTCATCAAATAGTATGGACGATGACACTTTGCCCATGTGGTCACCCATGAGCAACCCGCGGTAGTTCTCCACGTTGGCGTTGTCACCTTTCTTGGGCAGCTCCTGCAGCCGCCCTCCGCGCCATCGTCGAGGCCACCGCTTCTGTTGCCAGATCTTCGCGTTCAGCTTGTGCAGAGCGGAAGCCATGGCGAAGCCACCTGCTTTGAGCAGCTCACCGCCGATGCCGTCGAAGCCCAAACCCTGGTCGTTCTTTAGCCGAGATATGCCCTTGCAGATGGGCTCGATACAGGGGCACTCGCCCAAAATCTCGGCATCGTCGTCGGTCTCGCTCTCCATTGGCAGGCCCGGCCCTTCGAACTCGTCGGCGCCGAGCACCTCGCAGAAATGATCTGTGAAGCGATCCAAATATTGTTTTTGGGATTGCGTCTGGGCGCCATCCTCCCAGCGCACGCTGCGGAGCCGTCCGGCGTCCGTGCCGGATGCGAATTTGGCTAGCTTGAACAACTTCCGCATGTCGCCGTTCTCCCCCGCTTTCTCTGCAGCGATGCGTGTCCGGTCCAACATGACATTCCGATCGAGTTTCGCCGACCTCTGTATTTGGACCCCAAAACGTCGGAGACGCAGCGAAACGAGGGCCCACCTGCGGCAAGCACTTGCGAACTGCGAGCAAGCCACATTCTGCCAAATACGTCCTCCCTGGAGGTCACGTTGTTTCCGGCTGCCAACAACATCCCGCCACTCCACGAACATCTCGACGAGGCGGATGGTGCGCATCTGACTGGAAGCGTCACGTAGAGTCTTTTTGAGACCACTGCGCAGGCACATCATACCCCAAGTGCGATCAGATATCCAGGCCTTCTTGGGGCCTCGGTTCGAGTCACTCTTGAAGATGCCGCTGCCGTTGCGCACATGTTGGCACAACATCTCAAGATGGTCGTCAATACCAAGAGAGTCGCAAACATTGAAAGAGGCAATCCACCACTCGACGTGTCTGCGCAAAGCTGGGTTCATAAGTTTCTCCTTGGATGCTCGCGGCATGGTGGCGCCCAGGCCGTCGTCGTCGGCACGCTCTGGCTTGTGCGCCGCGCCGGCAGCATCCACAGACAAAGACAAAACTGCTTGGACAACACAGTGGTCATCACGCTCGCTTTCGGTAAGCTCGCTCTTCCGGTTCACACCCACTCAGTCACGACATCGTTCACCAAACCGCGAACAGCAGATAATCGATTCGTGAGTGGTGGCCGCGTGAGCCAGTCCAGGTCCAGAAAGCATCACCCCGGCAGCCTTGCTCGCCCGTGTTGACGGCGACGAGGTCCTGCTCGAGGATGAAGTATCTGAGGTGTGAGCCATGAACGTTTTCAACTTCGCTCCCAACTTGGCAAATGCCAGGGGCAGGAACGCTCCCGATCTTTGCGTTCGTGTCTGTGAGGAGGACAACCCGTGCGCGAGGGAGCTCATGCCGGAGCTTGCCAAGATCACGAGAGACCTCCTCATAGAAAGGACCTACATCGGCAGATCCATTGATAGGCGAATGCAGGACACCAACAATCAACTCGCAGTTCTCGCAGGCCGTGGTCACGAACAGTATCCTCGGCGACACTGGCATGCACTGCAAGATCTTGATGCGCAGCGAGAGGTTAAGCCACAGCTGGACACCGAAAAGGCCGCCACTGTCAGCAGCAGAACCAATGACTCGATAGTGCGCCTTCTTGACGTCAAGGTCGTCCCGCATGCGAGTCTCGATAACACCCACCATATTGAAACCCTCAGTCACGAACTCCCTCTCAAGGCGCTGGATTTTGCCAGAAACGAGCAGGCCCTGTCCCACAACCTGTGCCCGTCGAGCTTCGGCAGGGCGCAAAGTACCCACATTCGCTACCGCAATACGGAGGGCAACAACACCATGAGGCTGCCGCTCCTCAGTGAGAGGAGCACGTTTTAGGCGACGACCTTTTGATACCCAAGGCCTGCGCCACTGATGCGGTGCCTCGCCCTGGCACCGATCAGGTGAAACTTGTGAAACTTGTGGATTGCACCTCACGCCCCTCCCATGGCCCCGCCCTGGGCCGCCTGCTGGAGGGCGTTCTGTAGCATGATGTCTTGCGCTCCTTGGACGCCATGCTGGAGCTGCAACGTCACCGGGGCCGTGGCGGCCCCCACTGGCGACAGGGACATAGCTACCGGCGGTGGCGTTGCCGTACCTGGTGATGGCTGTGGTGCTGGCTGTGCTGCTGGCTGTGGTACTGACTGCCCTGCGGCAGCCCCGTTCCCTAAAGGGGGCGCCGCACGGCACTGCGCGGACAGGGTGGTCAGCTGGTTGAAGAGGCCCTCCATCTGCGTACGAGCTGCTCCCACCGTTTCGACCTGGACCATGCCTCCAGTGGCCATTTCCTCCAGTACCCGAATCATCCCTGATTTGAGGACCCCGAGGCAGTCGGCGTCTGCATTGCCTCCGGCCCCCATCTGGAGCTCCATGGCAGCCACCTGCTGTCCAAGGTCGGCCACCTCCTTGTCTGCCATCTCCTTCGCGTGCACGGCCTCGGCGACAATGTTCGCGAGGCGCTCTGCACGCTGTTGAGCTCTGGTCAGCGCTCCTCTGCACGCCTCCAGCCGCATGCCCAACGGCTTCAAGTTGACGATCTCCCGCTTGGCGCTGGCGATCTCGGTGTCCATGTTGCTCTTGATGGAGTTGTACAGGCTCCCGGCCGGAAGAGATGCCTTCGCATTCTCCAGCGCGCGGATCTTGTCCTCGAGCTCCTTCCTCTCGGCCGCACGCGGAGAAGCGGCGTCGTCTGCACTGTGTGGGGGGTATGGCATGTCGATGCTGCTGGGCAGTCGCCGCCGGCGCCGCTGGTGGAGCTGCGCCATGGCCATCGGCGAACTGCCGCCGAACGTTGCACTGCCTGCAGACCTCGGCCTTGCAGTAATTCCTGTACCTGCACACGGAGCATTGCCACCCAGCCGAGGCGTAAGCACCACCGTCCCCTTGCTGCCATTGCCCGGACATGCTGTACCAGTGCTGGGTGAGATATGTTTGTCCGCCTAGGCACGACACCTAGGATATCCTCAGGGTGAGGTTGCCCGCCTGGAAGGGTTTCCGTAATCCGCCGATCCGCCGTGCGAAGTCCAAAAAGCCTTAGCCTTATGCCGGGCGTGTCCCCTACAGGGGGATTTTTGACGAAAAATAGAAAAGACCCCAGAAATACATAGAAACATATCACAACATATCAACCAAAAAACAGCGCCCAGACTATTTTTCGACTATTATTTGACGATTTGGAGGGTATGTTTTATTTTTCGTCGAAAATCCCCCTGTATGGGGGACAGGCCCGATTTAAGATTGGCCACAGCCGAAGGACCCCCGAGCTGCAGCCCTTCTCGGGGGGAGGGCCTAGGGGCCTCTGCCGGGGAAGAAGGGGGGGCTCGTGCGCCTGTGCTCCGCTCTGCTCCGCTCTCTCGGGGGACCTCGGGCACGTCTCATGTCGGGCGTGTCCCCCTACAGGGGGATTTTCGACGAAACATAAAAAACACACCCAAAAATACCCCAAAAATATTAAAAGATACTAAAGAATAGTCCCCAGACTATTTTGGACGATTGCTTGACCATTTGGGGGATATATTATAATTTTTGTCGAAAATCCCCCTGTGGGGGGGACATGCCCGACTTGAGACACGTCAGAATGTGCAGCTCAGGACCTCTCTAAGGCCCCGTACAATCGCTGAAAGATCGGGCCCAGACGCCCAAGATAGCATCCCGTAGGCCGCAAAAAGCGTCCGAGAAGTCCCAAGAGGCCTTCAAAAGCTCTCCCAGGAGGGCGCCAAGAGGCACAAGCCGTGTGATTCCTGCGGGAAAACCTACAGTTTGGGCATGTCCGACTTCATGGCCTTCACGACGTCCATGACGCCCCAAAAAGTTCCCTTGACAGTCCCAGAGTCTCCTGAGAACCGCCCCAAGTCGCCCCGAGAGAGCCCAGAAACCGCCAAATAGGCGCCCAAGACGGCCCAAGAAAGCCCCAAGACAGCGCCAAGAGAGGCCCCAGAGGGGAAACGCGAACCGAGAATTCCTGCCCTCCGCCCCATAATACCCCCTCGAGGTCCCAAGAGGGGCCCCAGAACGGCGCCCAATATGCGTCAACACTGCCTCCAAAAAGCTCCCTCACAAATATCCCGCCGCCCCCAGATCGGCGGCATTGGCCAGAGGCCATTCCAATATTCTGAAAGACCCCACCTCCACGGTAAGCGTCCACCTGTCCGAATCGCCCCAATTACTGGGGGGTCCCTGGGCGGCCATGGCGCCCCCCTGGGGCTCTCCAAAGCTTCCATGGCGGCCCAGGAGGGCCCCGGGTCGCAGAACGATCGCTCGAAGACGCCCAAGATGGCTTCAAGATGGCCCAAGAGGCCTCCAAGACGCCCCAAGAGGCCTCCAGGAGGCCTCCCAAGAGGCAAACATCAATGATGTCACTTAAGTGCTTGAAATATGATGGCGTTCCCGTTTTTTTCTGCGGCCCGACGCATCAAGACGGCCCAAGAGGCCCCTAAGACCGCCCCAAAACAGTCAAAGAGGCCTCCAGGGCCCCAAGACGGTCCCAAGATGGCCTCAAGAGAAACCCAAGAGAGGGAACACGCACCGAACATCCGAGCCTCTTGCCCCAAGAGGCGCCCAGGAGGCCCCCAGGCCCCAAGAGGCGCCCAAGAGGCGCCCAAGAGGCCCCGAGCAGGCCCCAAGAGGCCCCGAGGCCTCCAAAAGGTCCCAGGCCCCCAACACTGCCTCCATCCTCAACGGGGCTCCGAGAAGCCCCCCACGAGATCCCAACGAACATCCAATCGGATTCATAGCCAAAACCCAGCACGGTGGCGGGACTCGCCGTCGGCAGCTGGATAATTGTCGCGCTCCCGCGCTCCAAAACTGCCAAAAAGCCACAAGACTGCCCAACAGGCCAACAAGAGGCCCGCAAGGCGGCCCACGAGGGCCCCAAGACGGTCCAAGAGGCTACCAAGACGGCACGGCGAATCTCCAACACGGCCCAAAGGCGTCCGCGGAAGGACCCCAGACTGCCCAGAGAGGACCCCAATATTGCTTCCCAAACCCAGGAGGTCCCTTTGCGGTTCCCAGAGGCCTCCCACATGCCCCCAAGAGGCCCCAGGAGGCCCCCAAGACGCCCCTCAAAGGCCACCAAGAGGCCCACAGGAAGCGCCCAGGAAGACCCAACAGGACTCCTTCTCATGTTCTTCCTCATCCTCTTAATCGTTTCCCCCCCTTCCTGTCGCTTTCTTCCCCGAGTGTTTCCCGAAGGGGTTACACAACGGCTGGAGGAACACGTAATCCAATAACTTTGCCAGGGTGTGGCCCAACGTTTGGCCGCATGGGCTATTCCACTGGCAGGAGGCGGCTCTGGTTCGCCGTACGCGCCTTCGACATTGTATATATATATATATATATATATATATATGTACACAGATCTATGGATACATACATCCAAACATGTGTATATGCACATACATATACATGCGCAGCCCCCCCCCCAGCACCCACTCATGTTGCATCGGTCTTTGAACTCTTCGGTCGTACGCTGGTAACCCGCCTTCTTTTTCATCCGCGCATGCTCATCCATCCGGTCTTGGAGCTCTTCGGTCGTGCACTGGTAATCCGCATTCGCTTCATCCGTGCCTGCTCATCCATCATTCCTCTTCGACAGTTCTCGGGTGTTCTCTCGTGCTGGAGTACACATGGGATCAGCTGGATCTGGGATCTGCGAAGTTCCAAATAGATTTCAATCAGGCTCCAATGGGACTCAGCTGATAATTAGCTGGATCTGGGATCCGCTCCACCCCAATCTCATTCTCATTGAATCCGAATCGCAATATACTTGGAATCAGCTGTATCCTGGATCTGATCAATTCCAATTCGATCCACATTAGATTCCAGTGGGCATCCAATTGGAAATCGCCTGTGTCTGGGACCTGCCCAACGAATCAAAATATGATTCGGTTCCAGTAGGACTTGCACCGGGAACAAGTGTAATCTGGGAACTGCCCCATCCCGCTTGAATTCCAATTCGATCCCAGTAAGGATCAACTTAAAATCAGCTGGACCTGGGATCTACACCTTTCCAATTCGAACTTAGTTCGGCTTCAAAAGGAATTAACTTGGAGGCAGCTGTAAT